GTTGCTCTGTTGCATGGCTGTGGGACATAAGTCCCCCTTAAGCTTTTGCAGGCTGAAGGTGTTGGAGTGAGCTGGCTGGACTTTGGGAAGTGCCTCTCCTGTGTATAAAATTTGATGAGGTCAGGGTGAGGGTATGGAAATACCTCCCTCATGTCAGGGCAGTGGGGTAACACTGAGTCCTGCAGACCCGGCTGCAGAAAAGGGAGCACAGGAGAGACTCCAGGATGGAAATAGTCATAGGCTGTATTGCTTGGTGTCAGCAGACAGCTCGGGTTCTGGAAAGGACTTGCTGACCTATTTCAAAAATGTCATTCGAGGAACTGTTCAGGACTTGGCAGCCCAGCCCAGGACTTGCTGCTTCTCTCCTTAAAGGGAGTTTCTGGTGCCGGCTGACAGCAGTCAGAGCAGATTCTTTATCCTGACTGTGCTGCTGTGGGGAAACATCTGAAGGAAACACAACACAAGCACCGGGTGATACAAGGTGGGGCTGGCTGTGCCGCCTAGCTCTGCCCCAAGGCAGGACTGAGTTCCTGGTGAGGGCCTGATCTGAGCTGAAGGATGCTGGTGATGGAGATGACATCCCTTCTGCAGGTAGCCTGTCCTGGTACATGGCTAGCTGTGCCATTCAGAAAACTTGGCCTGATTCCTGACCTTGCTAGTGTATATTAAAGCGTCAGACTCAAGCCTTCTGTGATCTTTGGGACCTCTCTTTGCGAGAGTGCCTGTGGATCTTGTGTGGTCAAGAGGTACCTAATGAATGTGGCCTTCAAACAGGGTTTCAGTGTGACATCTCTGCCAGTCCCCATGCTGGCATGGAGGATGCCATCCATGCGCATTTGAAGAAGTCTCCAACTCTGAGCAGCAGCAGCAACATTGCTGCCTGAATGCTTTCCATGCAAATGCTCATTATAGTTATTAGTCACTGTGACTTATTTGACTGCAAAGGCCCTTGGTGCCTCGGCACAGGACAGATGTGTTCTCAGAGACAGGAAGGGGAGGTGGAACAAGGTGGGCTGAGGGCAGCGTCATTCCTCTTAACCTGGGAACTCCAACAGATGAAGCTGTAAAGTCGTTCTTCTGGGTAGCCTATAGCAAAATCAGGAACCTGAAGCTGGATTTGCTGAGGCCCAGAACCTTTTAACCTCCCCATCCATTCTCATAGGAACATTTCTAGTTAGCCAAATTAATGGACCAAGCAGTAAACTAGATTTGCAATTTTTTATTTTTCAAACAATGCTTTGAAATACTTTATTGAACAGCAAAATTAATTGCATTTGCTCATCTCCCACTCCCACGTACAGAGATACTTTCTCCAGAATCACATTCCTTTCGAAAGGGTTTTTTGTACCATAGTCTGCTCAGCACCTCTCTGGGAAACATGTGCAGCCATTTGATAAATATGTTGCAAAAAACACTGTTGAAGTGGCAGTGCGCCTGCAGCAGAGGCATAGCTTCAGGGAAAAATGGTAAATAAGACGTGTAAGTAAATGAATTTTGCTCTTATAAGCTTGTTTGCAGCTCTAGTTCATGTCTGCAGCATAATCCTCTGATCTACAGCAGGCATTTAGTGTTGCGGGGGATCAGACTGGTGACCATGTGAAGAGCATCGGGCCCAAAGCTGCACAGGAGGTGCAGAAGGTAGCGATGGTGTTTCTGTTTCGCTGGGATTTCCCATCACAGCAAGATGCGGTTGCATTCCAGCCTGACAAATGGCAAATCCACCATTGATTTTTGCCTTGCAGAAATAAATAATTGCCTTTTGTACTGAGTTTTATGCACAGTAAGACTGGTCTGTGCGTAACTGATTTGCTTATTCAGAAACCATTGCTTTCCAATACACTTTTGGAGGATTTATCAGTGAAAAGGAATCCTTCAAAACAGTAGAACCTGAAACAAAGCCCAGCTCTGCAGATGAACAATTGTTTTCTTTTAAGTCTTGCTGGGTTTTTTTAGCATATTTTTAGCAGCACTGTATTATTTGTTGTGATGCTGTGTGAGTATATTTGTTCAGATTGGATGAACTGATTTATGGGCTTTATCTTAAGTTTAGCTATGTAAGCTGTCAATTAGCTGAAGATTTATTTTGCAGCACTGTGCTTTGGGAGGAGGGTAGGTGGCCTGAGCTGCAGGTTAGAGCTATGCAACTGTGCTGCTGCTTTTGAGGGGGTGACACCCTGGGGTGCTTGTTCTGGCAGTGAAGAGCTGCACAGGTGGCTCACATGAGCATCGCTGTTTGCTGAGACCTGGCCACTGTTCCCAGTACTTCTGGCTTTTTTTTTTTTTTCCTGTTGGCTGAACAGCGAGGATGTGGGTGATTTGTGGGCTTTGTCAGCTGTGCAGCAACATGGGCAGATGCTTCCCTCCCCTCGCTCCTGCATGTGGGGAAAACCTCGTGGCAGGAGGAGGGAAGAAGGTCAGGGAGCTGCAGACTTCAGTTGCAGGTTGATTTTCTTGGCGCTCCTTAGGAGCGAGGTGAGCTGTGACTGTCCAGCAGCTAAAGCTGCTGCAAGGAAAGGCCTTGGGTTGGTTTCTCTGTAGGCAGAAAAGCAAAGCCAGGCTTTTAACGCAGGGTGGAATTGGAGGTTTCCTCTATCCCCTTGTGCAAGCTGGATTAAATGGTGAAAGCGTTTTTACTCACTCTCTCCCTTCATTTAAAGTCCTTTCCAGCCCCAGTGGTGCAGAGGGCCGCTGTTGGCAGCGGCGATGTGGACCGGTGCTTTCCTGGCTGTGCAAAGCAGCCCTGGGAAGCTGCTGCCCCGCAGACAGGGCTGGAGGCTGGCCTGTGCTTCCCAGGGGCCGAGGCACTGACCTTGACCCAAAGCCAAGTGTGCAGGCATCCCATGAGGAGTCCTTATGAGTGTCCTGTCAGGAAATGTGCTGCTCTGTTGGCTCTGGAGTGCAAGGAAAGCCTCTTAAGGGATAGCAGGGTGGCCACAGGCTTGTGGTTGCCCTGACCCGATGCTCCTAGGTCAGCCCAGAAGCTTTCTGAGTACAGACCTCGCTCAAGCATTCTGCAGACAGCAAGTCCTCCACGGGCTTCTCGCAAATCTGTTTCGAAGGCCAGGATTGTTGCTGCCTTTCTAGCTTGAAGCCTGGTTTTGGGGGTTTGGGAGAGGGAAGGAGGTCTACCAAAGGGGAAGGCTCGCGCTGCTTTGCCTGTGGGTTTGTGGGACCATGTGCAGTATGTGCTGGAGGAACCCTGCAAGCCATCCCCAGTGCCTGCATCCTGGCTCTGAAAGGGATTTCTGCTTTGGGATTGAAGGATTTAAATATAGTTTTAATAGAAGCTTTTAAAGCTGATCTCACCATTTCATTACTGTTTTGAGTGAGTGACACTTCTGTCAATTTGTTTCAAACAAGCCTGCAGAAAAGGCAGGAGAGGGGGGGGAAGACTTATACCCGGGTGGGGAAGGAGGTGAACAGCAGGCTGTGGGGGGAACGTGTTGGATTGGGATGTTTCCCTTCTGTGATGTTGAGTGCCCAGCATGTGTCCCCCGTGACTGGCATGCAACCTAGGGTGAAGCCTCCCATACAGATCTTTCTTGTTTCCTTACTGATATAAAAAGATTGCTTGAGCTTGGCTACCACGCTTGTGCGAGGGACTTGGGAACTCTCCTTTTGCAGCAGAGTTCAGCTGTAGTGTGTTTAACTGAGCATCGCTGGGCAGCTTCGAACCAGTCTCAACCTTTGCTCCGTGCCCCTCGATGAGGGTGTCGTGTGTGTTCCCAGGCTGATGATGGATGGGGCTTTTTAAACTTGCTCACCCCCACCCTTCTTCATGTAAATTAAATGTAGCCAGTGTGAAAACAGGGCAATGCAAGTGTCACCAGGCTTGCAGGGATTTTTATGCACAACCTGCTTTGCATGTAGAGAATCAAAGGTTACAATATTTCAGAGTTAAGCCTACGCTGAAATTCATTGGATGCAGTCCAGGGTGCTGTGACTAAAGCTAAGTTCTCCCCCATTGTCCCCAGAAACTGGGCAGAGGAATGAGATGATGCATCCTGCAGCACTGCATCTTCAGAGGTGATTAAGGGATGACAGCCATGTGCTGCAGAGGATCATTTCCTGCTCTGGCCTGTGCTGGGAAGACTGAAATCTGTTTTAAATTGAGACTGCAATTAGCATCCAGGAAACAGCAATTTTATTCAGCAGTTTTAGCTTTGTATTGCATTTTTGTGTTCTGTAGGTCTTTTCCAAAGGAAAAGCTGATTTCCACATGCTGGTAATCATTAAGCATTGTTGATTTGCAACTCAATATAGCTTTTATACATGGTGGGCAGCAAGGCTAATGTGTGTTTGCACACAGGCTGCAACTGTGGGAGGCTGGGGCGGCCCTGGAACTAGACTTGCTTTTAAATTCTGCCATTGCTGTTGACTACGTTGAAAATAACTGAGAGTGTGGAAGTCACCAGCCATGGCTTGGCTTCCAGGCCTTTCTGTGACACTCTCTAAGGCACTACAGGGCAACAGAGAGACTAGTGTGGAGCCCTAAATGGCTGTGGATTTGTTGTTGTGCATGTTGGGTTTGGATACATACCAGAAGCTCTTGTATCCTATAAATAAGAATTCAAGAGGTTGAAAGTTTGGCCCTTTACCCTTGGCTTGTTAAGAAGTTGTACTTCTCCCTTTATTGTGAGCTGTGGTTGACTGCCAGTCTAGCTACAGAAGTAGTTCTCTTTAGCTATGTCACTTGTTGCACATCAGATAAAATCTCATCCTTATCACTTTCATATCTAGCATGATGCTTGGGTTTGCCTTTCCTTCTGAGGCTTTGCAACTTGTTTACAGCCTGCCAGTGTTTTGCCTTTGCTTTCTTTCATGTTGGAAGAAGCCAGAGATGGGTGTCTTGGTTATGTGTGTGTTGAATGAACATTATTATTCACTTTACCTGTTTGTGTTTCCTTTTAGGTGTTTCATGGAAAGATTCCTTCATGCCCCATGCTGTCTATGAGCACTAGCATTGCAGCCTTCTGAGACCATACAAGCTGGATGCAGTGATGGGGGACTCTCCAACAAATGCTGTGGATGGAGGCATAGACACATGCTGCAAAGACACTCAGACTGAACTGGCAGAGCGGGTAGCAGCCATAGATGTGACTATTGGCCCAGACAGAAGTGACCAAAATGGTGAAGACAACACGGAAGAAAATGACACAGTCTTTTCTGATAATATAAAAGACATCCAAAGAAATGGAGTCAACAGTGATGTGGGAATGAATGAATTTCTGCCTTCTCAACAGTCAGAAGATGCTCACTGGAGGCATGTTCCCAAGAGACCTCTCACTAGACCTGTCCTATCAAGTAGGAAGTTGTCTCTTCAGGAAAGATCATCTGGAGGTTATTTGGCTTCTAGCAACACTCCAGGTTATGGTCCTTATGCCACAGGGCCATCACCACGTATAATGAGGAGACCAACGATAGAGTCCAATCGGGTCTCCATATCAGATTCTGAGGTAGGCATGTTCTTCCCAGTAAGTGTGGTGTTGAGGTAAGGTAAGCCTTTCTTAACTGGTAAGGGGAGTCTTCAGTCTTTTGGAGTAGCAGATCTGAAAGCACTGCTTTTTCTAAGGGGGAGAAAAATCCCTGAAACCAGGGATTGTATTAGCTTGGAATGGCTGAATCCCTTTGCATCCATCCCCCAGACTTCTGGGCATAGCTGTGGTCCTGACATTGGCTCCTTCAGCCCTCACCTGCCTGGGGTAGTGCTGTTGAGGGGCCGGGACCCCTGTTGTGTACAGTACCGTGCAGAAAGCCTGTTGGGCTGTTCAGAGAAAGGGCCGTGGCCAAATGGCTTTGCTCTCGTGTCCCTGCTGTATCTGCCCTTCAGGAGTTTATCAGTCACAGCAGCTTTGCTGCTGGTATTTTATGGATTTAAGCTTCTGGAGATTATGTATCTCCTATTGTATTTTGCCATTATTGAAGGCATGATTTAATTTTATAAAGAGCTTAAATGCATTGGTGTTTCCTACTCCTGTCAGGATTTTCCTTTGTCTTTAAAGCGTTTTTAACAGCAGTGGTAATGGAGGGCCGTGACCCCCCTCTCCTTCAGAGCAGTATCTCTGGGTCGCTGCAATCGTTCCTGCTTGTCTGTCTTGCAGCTGCTCTCCCAGTACTGGACCTGGGCTCAGACCTGTCCCAGAGGTGTAACATGCTGTTAATGGTTGAGTGTATGGATGGAGGCCGCTGCTGGTTGCAATTCCCTGTGTTGTGCCAGGTGGGGAAACCTGTCCCCTTCTGCTGTCTGGGGGAAGGACAAGGAGGAAGGCATCTGCAGCTGCAGCTTTTCTTTCCAGCCTTTCTTTCCCACTGGCATGCGTGCCGTGACATGCTGTCCCGGTGAGCAGAGAGAGGGGCCACTCGGACCACGCTGCCTGGTGTCACACTGAAGATGCCAAGCCTGCAGCAGTGCCAGTGAGAACGGGGCATGCAGATCAAACTGAGACTTCAGCAGGGTTTTCTTTGAAAGCCAGGCGTGGTGGAGGTGGTGCAAATGGGTGGTTCTTGAAGCCAAAATGTTCTGTAAAATGCTACTGGCTGGGGAAGGATTTTAAATAGGGAATGGGCTGTCTGTAGTGCTGGAGAGGGAATGTCATCTGTGTGGGGCTGGCAGCTGGTTTGGGAAAAAACACAGACTCACACCTGAATTATCCCCCACGTTATTCCTGTGATTTTTATCTGCTATTTATGGAGGGAAACCCCCCAAGTTTTCCTTACCTCACTGTTTCTCTCCAGATGCTTACCCAGTGAATTCACCTGTGCTGCTGTGCCTGGGCACTGAAGTGGGACAGAGACAGCTGGGTGCTCAGGACCAGTGCCCATCTGACTCTTCCCCACTCAGTCAGTGGGGAACATGTTGCTGAACGTGGCTCTGCCACTGCCATTGTGACAATGTGTTGCTCTTGGGCACTGTGGTGCTCCCAGCTACAATACCTAAATCCCACTATGGTTCCACCCTGTCACAAGGGACCAAAATCACCAGAGTTTAGACTTTTGCTGGTGTGGGTCCGAGTGACCTGGAGCTTAACATCTATGTGGCTTAGTGTTTCCCTCCTGAAAAGTGGGTGTTTTCCCCTTGCACATCTGAGATGATGGGTGCCGTGTGTGAGCAAATCAGCTGTTGTCCCACGGGACCTTTTGCAGGTCATGTTAGCTGTGAGATGGGTCATGGTGTCACCGGCCGATAAGAGGATATCTGCAGAAGGGGCACTGCAGAGATTGCAGCTTCGTTGACGGCAGCCGTATGCTTTAATAAGGGAGGCGGGGAGGGAGAGGAGCCAGTTCTTGGAAGCGGACGTGACTTGTGTGCCAGCTCTCCCATCCTGCAGTACTTTAACTGTGCCAGGAGTGAGGCTTGTCTGAAATCTGTTTCAAAGTAACTGCAGTCGAGTGTGACTAGCACATTCCCATCTGCAAGCAAATTCAAAATACTCCGTCCGCTTCCACAGCATCTGCATCCTGGGGAGCAATAGTTACTGTCTTGGGGTAGGAAGTGCTTAGTTTGAAATGCAGATGCAGAACCCTTCGTTTCCCTGCTCCTGCAGCAATTCTTTATGCAGTACTGTGTTTTTAATGGTCACTTTAGTATAACTATTTAGAGTCCAGCTTCGGTGCAGCCCAGATGCTTAACAAAGCTGTGCTCATTGGAAACCATCATTCATATTAATGGAGAATCGCTGCGGTAGGAGGGGGAAGGGAGCCCAGGCGAGATCTGTGCATGTTCGGAGGTGGGTGCTCACCCTCGCAGTTGTGCTCTCGGGAGCTGTGCTTTGTCTTCCCAGCTTACAGTGACAGTATCTATGTCCTGTGAGGAACAGCAAAAGGATGAGGAAGATGCATGCTTGCTTATAGGATAACATTTGAGGCTGGCCACTGAGTAATGAAGAATAAATGTTAGGTGTGTGACAGCAAGGCAAGCGTGCAGCCTGCGTACAGCCCAACCCCAGCATCCTGCGTACAACCTACCAGTTGCTGCTAAGCGGTTGTTGCAGGGTCATTGTGTTCGTGGCCATGAGAGGCACTGACAGTCGAAATCTGAGCTGTACAGCTAACTGAGATACAGCAGGGAACTCAGAAAGGAAATGGAGAGCAGATCTTACATTGTTATGTGCATTTGCTCAGTATGTTTGCTGTAAGCAATTAGCAGAGCCTTGCATGTGGGCAGGGAAGACTGAGCAGAGCCAGGCGGTAGGGGCAGGGCTTCTAAGAGTTGTGGGGGACTCTGTGTTGAGGGTTTTGGCCCCATGGCAGATAAAATAACCCTATGATGAGAAATACAATCATGATGTACTTAGCAGCAGCTGCTGTTGTGTTTTCTGTTGATCATTTTGATATGCAGACCCTCAGTGAGCAGGGAGGCTGTTAGGTCACTCTGACAAGATCCAGCTCACTGATCACAGCATTGCCCCTGGCGTCCCATAAATGACTCTTTGACACATCATGTTCTAGGCAAGCTGCACATTTGTACCTGAGTCCATGTGTCTCACCTGCTTAAAGCCATTTTGGAGTTGCTCCTTTCTCCTTGCATTGAGTATCCGGCATCATCAGTCAGTGCCTTTCAGGTGGCAGGACATCCATTGCTCTGGCTGCCAGAGTGAGTTAGTCTGTGCAAAAATGAAGATAAAGTTCATGAGCATTCAGGCTTTATCAGTGGCACATGTGCAGGCACTGTCCATCTGGAGCAGAGATGGGTGGTACAGCTGCATAGCAAAATTTCCTGTGTTTTGCTGATAGCCATCTCGGATTGAATCTGCTTTCCCTTTCCAGTGATAGCAGGCTCACTTCCTTGCTGTCAGTGGTTCCTGTATCCTTGACTGATCTGGAGAAATAATGGAGAGATGTGCTACGGGGAGATGGAATATGGGGATACAAACAGAGGTGAATTTTCTGTTGTTGGAATTATGGAAGAACCACGTGTTCAGTTAGAGTTTTTTGCTGAGGTTTTTTTAATGCTGGTTTAAATACTTCTTCGCAGACTGGGAAGAAAACTTATATTCAGGGATCAGAGGGCCAAGAGTGGAAGCTGAGCCTGTGATGCTGTGGGAGGATTCATCCGGTGCTGCAGGCAGGCAGCAAATTGGGCTGTCCTGTCCTCGGGACCAATACCGCAACTGTCTCCCTTCTGAGTGGAGTTCTTGGGTTTGTTATTGAGGAAGATGGTGGTTCCCAGGCTGGCAGGGCTGCAGCAGAGCCAGGGCTTGTTGTCTTGCATAGAGGCAGGTCCCAATCAACTGAGCAGAGCCACCAATTAGCTAATTGCCCTGGGAAAAAGAGTTGGCAGCTAATGGTGTCCTGCAGCCCCTGCTGACAAGTCTGGATCCGCACTATTAACTCTGCAAGAGAAGTAACCCATCCTGCTCTCCTTACAGCATTACTGGGTACTTAATTAACCTGATCTGTCATATCTCTATCAAAATTAATCTGTAAGTTTAAAAATTTCCTGCTTGTTCCCCTCCTTTCTTAGATTTTTCATGGACTATGGCCTGGAAGGTCCTTTCAGTGCTGCCTTCTCTGGTAGGAGTGTCTGCTAGGCTGGTGGGATTTCTGCTGCCTTTGCTGCCCATCAGTGCTTTGCTCTAACAAGGGAGTGGCTGTGCCTTTAGCTGTGGCACAGAAGTGATTACGCTGAAGCTATTAAGGGTATGTAACTCTGCAGAGCTGAGGCACAGGGCCCAGAGTTTAAGTCGCTGGCCCGTGTTGCCTCTGATGTGACATTCCCGGCTCCTGCTCGGTGCTGGCCGCATGGCGAGAGGAAAGGTTTTTCCTGGGGCTGCTGAAAGCAGCTTCTGCTTTGCTGCATGGATTGTATGTACCAGGGCAAGACTCTCTGTGAACATGTTTGTACAGACTGATGGGCATCTTCTCACCATGTTTGACAGCTTGTCCCACCTAAAATGACAGGGCTTGTATCTGTGAAAGGGGAGAAGCGCTGCTTGTTGGAAAGTGGGATTTGAAAATGCAATGCTGTGTTGGGTTTTTTATTCTGCTATCCCAAACCAATCTTTTTAGGTAGCCAAGAAAAGTCTTACTTGGGGAATGACTAGAAGAAGAATAAAAGATGTCTTTTTCCAGGCTTTCTCCCCAGACTTGCCATCACAGTTAATTGCTTTGTACTTTCTCCAGTCTCTTCTGGCTGAATCGTCCTTTCTCTTTCACACATTCCCTTTCTCTCCCCTGCAACCACCCACTCCCTGGCATCCTGGTTTCTCTAGCCTCGGCATCCGCATGGTCTCCCCACCCTGTGGGATCAGCAGGAGGTCATTCCAGCTCCCAGCTGTCATCAGTGGCAGTGGGCTGGGCCATGTGTGCTTCAGCAGAATGGAGAGGATGAGTCAGGTCAGTGCATTCTCCCTCCTCAGTTCTGCTGCTGGCCCGAGCATGCAGGGAGGAGGACGAGCTGACAAAGGGAATTTTCCTATACTTGATGTCCGTGGCTTATCCCAGAGGCACAGAAAAT